AACAAATAAACCTAATAAACCAGTGAACCCAATGATTCCAGTTAACTAAATGAACACAGAGCATTCCCGGGGGGTTAGCCACCGTAGGCGGCAGGAGAGCAAAGCCCCCCTAGTATGTATATATAATATACACACACACACACACACATGTATGTGAGCGTGTGTGTGCGTGTGCGCGCGCGCGCGCGCGCGTGTGTGTGTGTGTGCGTGCATACAGTGTGTTTCTTAAGTGGTGGGCAAAATTTCAGGATTGGATTCCTCATGCTTAGAGAAGAGAGAAAAGAAAGTTATATCAACATCGATCCGAAAATAATTAGATTTGAAGTTATTAAGATTTTTGTAACACATAATTTTGTCTCATTTATCATCTTAGAAGTCCGTTTAAAGGCATCAACAATGTTTTTCAAATTCGCCGGCCTATATGTTTATAAGTGGGCATGTTGAACATTTCCTCTAATTGTTAGACGAGAAATGAGACAAAAATTTTGTATTACAAGAATCTTAATAACTCAAAAACTAATATTTTCCGGACCTATATATTGATATTACTTTTTTTCTTCTCTAAGCATGAGGAATGAGTTCCTGAAATGACGAAGCTCAACAAAATATATATTTATTTGCATGTAATAAAGAAATATTAATTGTACCTGATTAATAAAAAATGAAAATAATGGTGTTTATTTATTAATAATGTACAATTATAAAATTTACTTATTGATAGTAAATATGAAGCTCTGTTGACTTGAAACAAAGAAAAAGCATAGGTAGAAAGAGAAGTTTTGCACATACATATACATATAATTGGCTTATAAATTATATATATATATAATTATGATAAAATACCATTAGGTCATTTACCTTAAATATCAAAAAGATATTTAAATATTTTTATTAAAAAAATATTTAAACATTTTTATAAAAAAATAAAATAAATAAGAACAAAATGACATAAACTAAAGAATTTTTTTCTTTGTTTATCAAATCTATATATGTATAGCATGATCAGTGCTGTTAATATGATCAATAACTAGTTTTGGTAATAAAAAAATATTAATTTCTCTTTCATTTTAACATAAAAATAAATCTATGAATACATTAGATACTGTAACTATTATGTAACTATTATTGTGATACTTAAACATTAAAATAGTCTATAAATATATGAAATAAAATTTATTGACATGATTTCTGCTTTGCCTGTAAAAAATAAAAGTTATAAACATTACTGATTAGATTCTGTATTATCGCCAGTCAAAAATGAAAGGAATAAATATTTCTCGACCAATACTGGCAATTATTTATTTAATAAATCTCACAACGTTTCGACCATAATTTTGATAAATATTTTAACAGAATAATTTTCGTTTCGTGATTTCCGTATTTTTAAAGCATATATATTATATGTTAATACTATTATCATACGTTATTTCAGAATACTTGATAAGGATCAAAATTATGGTCGGAACGTTATGAGATTTATGAAATAAATAATTGCCAGTGTTGTGCCTCGGGTGAGACACAGAAGGGATGTTGCCGGATTAGGAAGTGGACTTCCGAATCGTCGGGGTTTCTCCGTAAATTATAGTTTTGTTAGATGTAGAATTACTTTTCTTTATTCATATATATATATATATATATATATATATATATATATATTGATATACAACTTAACAAGACTCGGCGTATAGTTATTTTTAAATCTCTGGTAACTTCGTTTCTCTTTTCCGTTCGTTCTACGCGACTCTAGATTTATTTGGACTTTAGGTAACGACTCGTCTGAGTTCGAGTCGGGAGTTATCCTCGATGTGTCTCGGTAGGTTGGTCTAATTGAACTCGCTCTCTGTTCACTCCCGAGTTCTTACGTGAACTCGGTTTTTCGTTATTTCGTTTAGAAGGGGTGCCTGGCAACAGGCACCCGATTGGTGCATAGCTTTTGCATACGCGGCTAGATTTTGAGCTAAGAGCTGTTCGAAAGATGAAGCTCTTAGCTTGCGTCTTCGCGGTTTCCGGCCCGCTGCTGTACCAGCGGTCTCCACGCGGATTTTATATCCGTTAACTTGTAATTATAGCCTTTCGGGCTATAACACCAGTATTGGTCGAGAAAAATTTATTCCTTCAATTATAAATGTGTTGTTTTATATCAAACACAATAAAATACACAAATAAAATGTAAAAATATATCAATTCTCTGTTGTAGCGAGTTTTTGAGTGTCTTGACCAAACTAATACATAATTCTAAAAATGTTTATAAGTTAACAATAAAAAGTGTTTTCTAGTAGATCTTAAAAATGTAACAAAAAAATTTATATAATGCCTGTACAATCATTATGCTATTTAAAGAAATTAATTGTACAATGAATAGCTTGTATATGTAGATATATTTATAATATTTGTTACGTGAATATACGTTTTATATATATAAAATGTACATAATTATTAGTGTATTTACTTCGAAGTTGCCTTTGCAATCCATCCAGGTACAGTTTGTATCCAATTTATTAATAAATATTTTTTAAGAGTTTAACTAGGCTCTGTAATATAAATATAAATTTAACATATATAAGATAGGCAATAAGAGCCAAATCGCGGATGACAGTGCGTTATTCTAAACGAAACTAAATTTTTTCGTTAGAATTAAATACCTGTGCACAAGGCACCCAATTTTACTTGGACACGGCCAAGATATAAAATTGGAATAATCTCTACAAGAGATTTTTAATTCCATGTATCCCCTATTCCCCCTAAAGAAATAAATGCGAGAGAAAAATATAGATCCGAAAGTCGCAGAATCGGGAATCGAACCCGAGACCTTTCGCTTGCCGGGCGACTGCTCTTCCAACTGAGCTATTCAGATCCTTTCGATTCTATACTTTTCTCTGTTATATATTAATGTTGGTAAAATAAACGCCTTTAAGCCAGCGTGTATAAATTAAGAGTTTAACTAGGCTCTGTAATATAAATATAAATTTAACATATATAAGATAGGCAATAAGAGCCAAATCGCGGATGACAGTGCGTAAACGAAACTAAATTTTTCGTTAGAATTAAATACCTGTGCACAAGGCACCCAATTTTACTTGGACACGGCCAAGATATAAAATTGGAATAATCTCTACAAGAGATTTTTAATTCCATGTATCCCCTATTCCCCCTAAAGAAATAAATGCGAGAGAAAAATATAGATCCGAAAGTCGCAGAATCGGGAATCGAACCCGAGACCTTTCGCTTGCCGGGCGACTGCTCTTCCAACTGAGCTATTCAGATCCTTTCGATTCTATACTTTTCTCTGTTATATATATTAATGTTGGTAAAATAAACGCCTTTAAGCCAGCGTATAGAATCGTAAAAGTATAGAATCGAAAGGATCTGAATAGCTCAGTTGGAAGAGCAGTCGCCCGGCAAGCGAAAGGTCTCGGGTTCGATTCCCGATTCTGCGACTTTCGGATCTATATTTTTCTCTCGCATTTATTTCTTTAGGGGGAATAGGGGATACATGGAATTAAAAATCTCTTGTAGAGATTATTCCAATTTTATATCTTGGCCGTGTCCAAGTAAAATTGGGTGCCTTGTGCACAGGTATTTAATTCTAACGAAAAAATTTAGTTTCGTTTAGAATAACGCACTGTCATCCGCGATTTGGCTCTTATTGCCTATCTTATATATGTTAAATTTATATTTATACAGAGCCTAGTTAAACTCTTAATTTATACACGCTGGCTTAAAGGCGTTTATTTTAGCATGTTGAACTTTTGTGCCCAGCCAAGTAATATAAGAGAAGATATCTCTTTATTCTCTCCGAAAATACATTTAAAATATATATATATGGCTTGCGGATAATCTATCGGATTCATACCATCTAAATAGATGAAGTAACTGACCTGAAAATAAGATTAAATATTATATAATTAAAAAAAGAAACATACCCAGCAAACACCGATATATAATTGTTACATTGCCATAATAAAACGGAATATAACAGATAATATATAACGTGTACGTTACATGTAACATCCATGTTAGTTATAATTTCCCACTCATAGATGTAACATTTTAATATAACATATATTACATTGTAGTTATATTGTAATTATATACCAAATAGCACATTGATGTATTAATAAGTCAGTGCTATCTTGGGATATAATGACAATATAACTACAATGTAATATATGTAATATATGTAATATTAAAAATGTTACATATCTATGAGTGGGAAATTACAACTAACATATACGTTACATGTAACATGCTTAAGTATATAACATTTATATACTGTGTTTGCTGGGTAAAGATTAATAAACCATCTCAGCAAACACCAAGTAACAATTATATAACTGTTAGTTGTAATTTCCTATTCAACAATATTTAAATGTAATATATATAACACACATGTTATATTGCATATTACATTTACATTTATAACTAACAGTTATATAATTGTTACTTGATGTTTGCTGAGATTCAACAATAAAAATAATATTTACCACATTGTCGTAAGTCTGTTGATCGACGTCCTTAAATAAAGAGATCATCCAGCGCAATAAAAGGAAAGCATCCCGGTGGTTCTCTTCTTCATGGAGAGCGGCCTTTTCATTCGTTTAATTTCTTTTAATATTATTGCTTCAATATGCGACTAAAATAAATCAAAACTCATTAATTTTCCTTATGCTATAATCCGAGATAACAACATAATTGGTAACATAACATAATGTAATATATAGTGTTTGTATAATTAAAAATAATTTTATTTTAGTAATATTTGAAAACTATGTTATTCAATTCTTAATTATTTCTATTCTTAACATTATTTCTCGAATTTAAATTTTACCGCGCGTTCACATGGTACTAAGAGAAGAAATATGATTGGTTCCGCCATTTTGCTTCAAAGCCAATACCAAGTTTGACAAGATAGTTTACTTTTAATTATTTAAAACATTTATTATTTAATATTATTAATATATTATTTTATTTAATTATATTATTTATTATTTTATTTAATTATATTATTTATTATTTATTATTATTTTTATTATTTAATAGTGTATCGGCACATTCCTAGAAAGCCCAAGTTGTCATAGAACAAAAGACGAAGATCCCCGAATACACATACCTTATGTATAGAAAATGTGATAAAGAATATTTTTTGGAGAAATATTTATGGGACATTTTTTTAACACATATTTATTATATGACTTAAAAGTATTTATTTTCTGTGATCAGGTGTGATATGTAATGATCTCTGAAATTAATTATCTAATTGCTATAAAATTGTTCTCTTATCATAAAAGATAAGAATTATTATATAATACATTAGTAAATGTAATAATTAACTAAAAGTTCGTTTTGCAATAGATCACGTTTCTTCCAACCACTGCCATGGCTTTAAAGTTTGCTAGTAACCTATCTTTTATGTTTACGGAGGCCCCAAATATTATTGATAGATATCAGCTGGCTAAGCAAGCAGGATTTAAAGCAGTTGAAAGTGGATTTCCATTTGGCTTCTCTGTTCAACAAGTCGCTGCAGCTAAAAAGAAAGCAGATGTCGATCAAATACTTTTGAATGTATTCACAGGTATATTGCATTTATATATTCACACATACATATTTGTAAAAATAATATCATTCTTTTTAACTGTAATGTATGACAACAGGTGATGTTACGAAAGGAGAATTGGGTTTTGCTGCGATTTTAGGTGAAGAGGAAAATTTTAAAAAGAGTATTGAGAAAACAATAGAATATGCAAAAGCTTTGGATTGTAAGATGTGAGTATAACTTGTAAAGTTATAATGATAAAAATATACAATACTACGCTAAGAATGCTTAGAATGGATGAACAATTTTTGCTATGTAATATGATAAATTCTATTCTCAAGATTCTATCTTTAGGATTCATGTAATGTCAGGAAAAGTAGAATCACCTACCACTGCTAACGATATAGTTTATGAAAAAAACCTGTTATATGCCATTGAAAAATGTAAATTGGAAGACATTGTCATTCTCATTGAACCAATTAATAACTATAGCGTACCAAATTATTACATGAATAATTTTCAGAAAGGTTTGCAAAATCAAATTTACTTTTAATATAATTATTACTTTTTTTAAATAATGGATTTTTACAGAATAACTTTTTGTTAATTACAGCTTTAAATTTGGTAAAAAAGGTAAACAATGTGCATTTTAAGCTACAAATGGATATTTTCCATTTACAACATTGCTGTGGTAATATTACAAAATGCATTCAGGATTTTTTGCCCTATGTGGGTTAGTTTCTCTCTTTATAATGTATTAATTTTAACATGTAACAAATAATACAAAAAATTGTAAAATTAAATTATTAAAATTAATAGAGGATATCTATTTAAATCTTGTAAAAAGAAAAATTCCATCAGAATTCTTTGATCTTCCTGATATTTTTGTTTAAAATTCTAAATAAAATAAAAAAATTTGTAGACGTGCAGTTTTTTAAAATGAGTTTCTTTATTATATACGCTTTCTAATGTTTTCTATTTATACGATTACAAAAAAAATTATCAATCGCTTGCAATGTAAGAGTAAAATCACAGTCAAAAACACAATTAAAAAAAAAATTTTCTGAGTCAATAAAATTCCATAAGAAATCCCAGATTTTTCAAGATAAAAAAATTCTTGACCTTTGACAATCCCCGGTTTCTTCAAGGAATAGACACTTTAATATATTCATATTATTATTTTCATAAATATAATATCATTTTTTTATAGGCCATATTCAAGTAGCTCAAGTTCCTGATAGACAGGAACCAGATACTCCAGGTGAGATTAATTACAAATACGTCTTTTCTTTACTGGAAAGAATTGGTTACACTGGATATATTGGTTTGGAATATCGGCCAAAATCATTAACAACAGAAGGATTAAATTGGATTAAAAAATATGGTTACAATCTGTAAATAAGTATTCATGTATGTTATGTATATAAATATAATTTTTTTTTATTTATAATATCTTAAATCAGAAATATATTTTCAATTTTCATATTTGTCTATGTATTATAATATAATGAAATAAACAAATTGCTAATTAATAAATTGTTGAATTAAGCAATTTAACTTTAATTATATATTTGAAAATTTCTCAATTAATTTTAATTTGTAGTCAAATTAATTCTTGTAACAAATTTTATTCTCAGAAATAAAAAAACCAAAGAAATAGCTTTCCCAAATAATGTTATATAAATACCATCATTGTAGAAATGTAAGCGGTATTAAATTGCATTCCTCACAGCCAGATCTTTTTTGCTGCTGCAATGTTTTGTTGTTTTGTGTGTGTCCTGATTGTATAAATTGATTATATTAAAATATATAATTAATATCTACTCAAAAATAATATTCCTTTCTACGCATTAGTCAACATGAATAATTTTCGATAACCATATAAGAGAGAATTAATATATCTAAATAAACATTATTACATAACTCATATATATATGTAAATATTATGTTTACATTTATTTTGGCTTTTAATCATTATATACATGTCAGATTGATAATGCATATATATTGCTTTTATATTTCGCATGAATATAAACATAAATACATATAATACAATATAAACATCTTAACTCATATATAAGCAAAAATATGGCAGTCTAATATAAAACGTGTACATACAATCTTGTGTTTGAAATTCATAGCATATAGTAAAATACACCACGTGTATTAATAGCATAATTTATTTTCTGAGTTTAAGTATTTTTGTAAAAATGTTTATTTTGTTCTCTTTTAAAATTAATGTCTGAATTATAAATAATCAAAAGTGCTTATAGATATAAGTACAGGCATTTTAATTATTTTCTGTATAACAGCATTATACTGCAACTAATGTTATAAATTTAAAAAATTGATATTTAATCAAATTTTATATTATGTAAAATAAAATAATATTAAGTAGTTTATTCTCAAAAAATTAAAATAGGATGATTCTTACTACACACGATAAAAGATTACAATAAATTTTGTGTACATATCTATGGTGTAAATATTTTATTTGTATCATCAATGCACATTTTATAAATGAATCAGATATCTCGACTTCATGTAATATATATTTCTATTTATAATTTTTGACTCTCTTGCTCTACTCATATTGCACTCTTTCAATATCATTTTTATGTAAAAAATTACTAACAAATCATACATAATTTACAACAACTCTAATAAAAGAAGCGAATTTTAGAATCATCCTATTTTTCATAAGTATGGACGATTTATTTATAAATCTGGTTTTATTCAACACACCCATATATGTCTATATTTTGACAGATAGTCATTGCAAATGCAGTAATTCCTGGATTATACTGCAATGACTCGTCTCATTATTTATGATACAAGTCTACACACTCAAGCAATTATAAAGTAGTTTAACATAGATATTAATGTATTACATTATAATAGGCTAATCTAATTATATCTGCGTACTATGATTAAAATTACAAGTAATTATAACAATTTGTTTAACAATGATCCATGTATAATATATATTACAATATATATATAATATATATATATATATATATATATATATATATATATATATATATAATACAGTTAATATATTCAAATCTCTTGATGTGTACGCAGGAGATACACTCCGTAATGTCAAAAAATATTTGCATTTACTGGACTAACAATTTAGTGTGATTTCCACTTACAGAACAAAAAATTTGAATGCACAATGCCAATAATTTAAAGAAATGTTTCTTTACAATGTAAAAAAGCACACATCAAATATAAATTAAATTTATATTCCGAATTATACTCGGTATCATAAAGCAAAAATAGCAATTGCATGAAAGCACATACCTATATCGATTTGTCATAAAAACACGGTGCTATTCAGACAGATTCTGTGGTATTCATCAGTGGTTGGTCGACATCAACAGAAGGACCTATCACAGCAGTGCTGTAAAATATTTTCAATACATTATATTAAAAGAATTACTATGGATTTTTGTGAAACATAATAGCAATGTAGGACATGATATTTTTTATGCATTACAATAATAAGATATAATAAATGCCGCTCGAAAAAACCGCACAAGAAATAAAAAACCAAAGCTATAGCTTTCCCAAATAATGTTGTTATATAAATACCATCATTGTAGAAATATAAGCGGTGTTAAATTGCATTCCTCACACCCAGATAAAGTATACATTAAGTTCAAATAGAGAGTTCAAGATTATAGAATGGAAAAAAAGGAAAGAACGCCCGAGTGTTGAAAAACTTCATACGTATGTATGTACATATGTGCATGCAAGCGTGAAATTAGTTGTAATATATCATCAGGGGATTGTGAATATTACCCAGTGCCAAGAGCCAAAATTGTAGCTTCCTGTACCAAAGTCATTTGATCAATGGTGGACCTGTGGTCAATCAAAAATTCGATCAAATAAATTATATCAAAGGAAAGAATCATGTTATATTTACCTACACATCATACTATATATAATAATACATATATGCTATAAATTCAAAGTTGCCTGTTTTTTTCATTTATAAACAAATTAGAACTTTACTACAAACTTTTAAAAATACATATAATAGAGAGAGATCAATCTTTCTATTTTAAACAAGAAAAATATGCGATTGCATTACTTACTTATTACTTTTATATACTTCTAACAATAAGTATACAATAATAAAATTGAAAATAATAAAACGAAACAAATCTAGTATAAAAATAATTAATATAGATTGTGTCAAAAATGAGTTACCTCTTAGCAGTTTGATATAAAATTATTAAAAGGGAAAATAAAAGCAAATAGCTCATGAATGTTTATTAATTAGTTTATCATGAAAGCAAGAGCACTCGGCAGAAAAATAATGTTTAGTATTTATTAGTATTAAAATCGGAAACTTACTGTATTTTTTCCGTATAGCATATATATGTATATTTTATATGTTGTATAATTTGATTCGTACATTTTTATGAGAGAAAACTTTGTGTGATGCATGTGTAAAACGCAGAAAATCTTATGCATTTTAATTAATTATTAATCAATGTACAGAGGGTAGACAAAATAATGTGAACACCTGTGAAAGAGAGGTATTTATATATGTACATTAATTAAATGTTGGGCCACCATTTGCCCCTTTTCCAGTGTTGGGCCACCATTTGCCTCCTTTTCAATGTTATCTCATTCTTCCATCCGCCAATTGCCTTAGAGATAGATGTTGAAAGAGGAAATCCGCTTTTCAATCTTCTTCAAAACAGTTCGATGATATTAAGCCATTAAAATGCCCAAACACTCTCCCTGGCCAGCATAATTACCAAACCCAATTATCATCGAACCACTATAGACAGTTTTGGAGAAGAGATTGAAAAAACGTTTAATTGGCTCAATGATATTCAAATTTGGTAATTGTGCTGGCCAGCAAAAATATTTAAACATCTTAATAGCTTAATATCATCGGACAGTAGGCCATTTTGAAAAAGTGAGAAACATATTTCCTCCTTCAACAAAGCAATTAGCAGATACAAGAATGAGACAACATTCCAATTAGAAAAAAAGCAAATGGTAGCCCATCTTATTAACAAACAAATATAAATACCCCTCTTTCACAGGTGTTCACATTATTTTGTCTACCCCCTGTACATATTGTTTTCAGTATTTTTAATATTTAATTTAAATCAATATAATTTAATATTTGTTGATGTGTGTTTTACATAGGATAGGAACATTCTGGAAAGAACGATAAATAAAAAATATTTTTTTTACAAAAAGAAACTAACTTTCTCCTTTTATAAAGATGTTTAAAGTATATTTTTCCTACTTTATCTTCTTTATAGATACAAATGTTAATTTTTAAATAACAAACAGTATTTGCAATTAGTATCGGAATGTATATAGTATATATCATTGTCTATTATCTATTAATAAATAAATATAGCGTTTCTTTAAATAATATACATTCATTGTATAATGTAATATTCCACATTTATTCCACATAATAGTTTCCACATTTCAATTCACAATTCTAATTTTTTCCTAGATATATATCAATTTATTCGCTATAATGTAAGAATTAATATGCCAAGTCCTCCAAATAAACAGGATATTCTACAACTTATGACCATTTTAATTGATAAATTCTTTGATTAAATTTGGAGTTAATTGCTCAATGAAAGAAAATACGAGGGATCAAATCGTTTATAATATACATAATTTTCCAATTTTTAACACGTATATATCTCGGTTAATTAGGCTAGAAATTGAAACTTCTATTAGAAAGCCCAATTTTATTATCTATGGCCCATATTCTCGAACTATTTTTATCGGTAAAGCGTTTTTATCGATAAAAATGGTTCGAGAATATAGGCCTACTTGTATAAAAGATAAGCTAGAGATTAAATTCGCGCGAAAATAATCGTTTTTAATTAAGAAATTATCGATACCGCATTTTCACTCAGGAAAGATCAATTCCAAATTTTCAGAATCTACGAAAATCAAAATTATAAGTAAAATACACTGTATTTCAATCGAGATTTACAGCTTGTGTAGACCGTTAAATAATCAAAAGAAAATCCATAAGTACATAAGGAACTTATTAATAACTATATAAAAACTAAATATAAATTGTTCCATTTATCTTAAGGCTCTTAAGTCCTCGCCGCGATATATTAAATTGTGACGTCAGAGAAAGCACACGCTGAAAATTCTTAGATGCTACTTTTTATATGAAAAGATATTTCGATAAAATACTATTTCAGATGACATTAACACACTTTTAACATGTTTTTTTACATAGGAGTTGTAGAAAATAATCGACCAAACTAGCGAGTAAATAATTTATTCAGCTTCACGACGTTTCGACCATGTGATTGTGGTCCTTTTTAAGTGAAACACTAAACTTTTTATTTGATGTGTATATTCGTGAATTTTGTATATACATTAATAATTATTTATGTAATAAAATATTTTTAGTGTTTCACTTGAAAAGGACCACAATCACACAGTCGAAACGTCGTGAAGCTGAATAAATTATTTACTCGCTAGTTTGGTCGATTATTTTCTACAACTCCTATTTAAATATTAGTGACTGTTATTAATAATTGGAAATTTATATTTTTTTACCTCAAGGACTATTCTTTTCTCTTGGCAGTCAATAAACAATCGTAAAATGTAATATTAGACTTTATATTACAATCATTTTACAGCTGTTGATTGATTATAAAGAAAAAAAGGATAGTTTTCGAGATATTTTAAGAGCGTGCAAAAACTATCTGAAGCGTTGTTCCATCTTTTTATTTCAAAATGGCATCTAATTGTAAGAATTTTTATCGTGTTTTCTCGCCTCTGACGTCACAATTCCAATATGGTCTGCGAGAAGCCAGAAGCCTTAATGTGTGCTCCAATTGTTTTGAGCAAAATTATCGACTGTTTCCGATCTAAGAATCGAGCCTATAAAGTACCTGATTTACGTAGGGAGGTGGGGAATCAAACTCGGTTTCATCACCCCACTGTTGGGTGCCGTGGGTGCCCAACAGAGTATGTGTATCCTCATTACACAGCCGCTCAGGAAAGTTTACCCCGTCTCCAAAGCTGCAAGCCATACCCTACCTTCTACTTGATGTCATCCCATGTTCATTATCATCTCATGATGTAACTATCTTATGTATCATCATCATCATCATGATCATCTTGTTTCGCCGATTTCATTTATTATCTTTTGTCGCTCATTTGTTTAATTTAATGCAATTTCGGAAATTAATAAGAAAAAGAAGATATCGTAAGAAGAGAGATACTTCCTCCATAAAAAAATATTATTACATATAGTTACATCATCTTCGTACTACAAGTACTGTCTGTAAGAACCAGATGCACAATACCTCACGTAATAATATAAAAATTATATGCAAATTGTAAAATTTTATGCAAATTCGTCTTTAATTAAAATTTATGTGACGTGTAGGGCACATGCAACTTAAAAGAAAAAAAAATCAATATATTTTGAGTCTATGTATAATCAAGATACATCATGATTAAATCTTTCAATTATACATACATTCTATAATAAATAAATATTTATATATAAATAAAACATTATACATAATTGTGATATTTTCAGAGAATATTGCAGAGACTTTATAAAATTTTTCTATTGTTTTGCAGTAATATTCCTTATATTATTTTCTTTATTTCTTCTAAAATTCTCATTTATAAAATATATACATAAAAACATAAAAATATAAAACCAATTAAAAATTATATTATGTAAATTGAAAAAATATATAAATTATAAATTGTCAATTTTATGAAACACAATTATAAAAACGTAATTTGCAAAAAAAATCTTTTCAGAAGCAGAATAAAGGATGAGGATTTTATAGACCTTGCAGACATTACAGAAAAGTTTGAGTTGTATTAAGAAAAGATTGGGAAAATATAATTATAGAAGTGATAGGCAGCGTCAAACAAAAATACAATATGCAAATGCGTTGCATGCAACCTGTGAAAGCACTTATAAATCATGTCGTTACTTTGGAACTCTGAAACTCTCTAAAAATATAAATATAAAATGTAACTACTAAAAATAAATATAAATATGAGCATATACTTATATGTATATTTAGAGTGGCACAAGAGAGAATGCTACATTTTTTAATAGATTAAAAGTGATAAAATAAAATTCACAAAGATAAATTATAGAAAGCACCTTTCCTTCAAGATTCAGCAATAAAAAGAATATTTATGGGACATTCCATGTCAAGTAAAACAAGTATTAATATAAAATTTATTAAATCAAAGTAAGACGTTCGAGAACTTAACGTTTTCGTTTTTGTGTAATTTAAAAAAAACGTGGCCTTTTGAAAAATTAAAAAAAAATCGCTTTAATATGGTGGCTGAAGTGGATGAAGAATTTATTGAAAACATTTAATTTATTGATTAGATGGTTCCAAATTCATTCAATTTCGAAAATCGGTATTTAGAGATTTTTCAGATCGTTTATGAAGAATTGACTGGAACGCTTAGACTCTTCATATCCAAATTTAATTTTTTTCCATGAAAATTGATATGTGGAAATTTTCTAGGTTGCTGACGAATGATTATCGATTGAATTTCCAAAATTCAAAATTTTCTAAATATTTTTATTATAATTTTTATCGTTATTCTGATAAAGATACGAAATTTTGAATTTTGAAAATTCAATCGAGGATCATTCATCAGCGAAATGGAAAATTTTTACGTATCTATTTTCATAGGAAAAAAATAATTTTAAATATGATTAAGAATCTAAGCGTTCTAGTCAATTCTTCATCCACTACAGCCACCATATTAGATCTACCATTTTTATTTTTAACGATCCGACCAATAAATAAAATGTTTTCAATAAATTCTTCATCTACTTCAGCCGCCATATTGGAGTGGTCATTTTAAATGTTTCAAAAGAGCCACATCTCTTCTTAAACTACACATACAAACGAAAACTTGAAATCCTCGAACGTCTTATTTTAACTTGATAAATTTTGCCCAGACACACTTGTCCTATGTGACGTGGAACATCCCTTATGTAATGTTATTTATGCGTCAATTGTATCTTTATCGCAGAGATAAACGAGTTCCACAGTAAAGATATAAATCAAGATAATTAACATTGCATTTGTATTTAAAATTTTTATGATGCTGACCTGTTCTGAGTACTGCCCATGGAGTCATAAGTATTGGGTGTGCCCTGGTGTTGCGATCTTACTGGATAGACGACACCATTTCCCAGACTAGAACACATCCAATGCAACCACTCCAATTTAAAAGTGAAAATTTAAAGTGACTGAATCTACTATATCTCCTATCGGCCATAATTTGGTGCAAATAAACATAGTGCTCATAGAAACAATTTAAAATGTGCAAAAGTTGCATACTAGCCAATGGTGCACCGAAACAACAGTTTTTACATTTCTATAAAACTACGTTTGCATAAAAAAACAAGGGAAAAAGAGTTTATACACACACGGAATAAAGATAAAAAACAGTACAAATATCAACTTATTAACGATCTATGTACGTATGTATCCTCTGCTCTGATTATTAATATAAAATATAAATCATATATATATATTTCTTTTGTATAATTGTTATAACACAAAGATGTATTAAAGTAAGTTTTTAACACACGCGTACGCGCACGTACACATATATTCTATATTTTAATGTGTAAATCTTCCTATGAATTGATTTATATGAAAGACTGAATTGAAATTATATATATATATATATATATATATATATATATATAAATGATAATATTACCACATAATTGGAGCATTCTACATGTATTTAGACAAAAATAATATATATTGTATATATAGAAAATTAGAAAAAAAAATAATTACACAAAACATGCAATTGTTTTGCCTTTAAAGGAAAATAAAATTTGAAAAAATTAAAATTGCTCACACTTTACTCAAGGCCCTGCAGTACTTATATGTTACTGCATTTCAAATTTCGTTTAAGTATGCCATAAACTGCATAGTTGCTTTTTTATGGTAAAGATTATCATAGGCAGTATACTAGAAGCATACAAATTGATACAATAATTCAGTTATTATGTATTGTGCAACTGGTTCCCACTTTGTAAATCACTCAATTCCGTCGCATAAAAAGTATTAAACGAAATAGACATACCTACTAAATATAGGAAGAAACCAAAGCCGTGGATTGTCACCAAATACTTCCTGAAAATTATTGTATTTTCCCAGACTAAATCCATCCTTGTCTTTCCCTGTTCGAAACATAGGTGTTCTGAAGGCCTCTGTAAATATTGTTAATTAATATCTTAGACAAGAAGTACATATTACATATTAATGTTAAAACAAATATTCAATAATTACCTAGCGTTGACCTATTATGCACAACAAGATAGCAATGGTAGAAGAAAAGGGAATTAAGACTGACTGCAAACATCAACGCAACAAAAAAAAGAAATAGTAGATGAAATCGGCCCATTCCATCTAATTCACCCTATAAGAAAAAGTTCACACATCATCACAAATTGTAAGATGAAATTGATATAAATATTCCAGCATATATTTCTAATTGTAAGTAAATCTTTCTTTTTTTATAATTTATTTTACAGTAAAAGAAAAAATAATACTCACTTTCCAAAATCGTATAAAGTATTGTAAAGATGTGGCGGTAATAAACATACAGTAAAGAAGTGCGTATGCCAGGAACAGCATAAAAAATTTGTAGTTGTGGAAGCCTACACAATTATTCACCCATGGACAATGATGATCCATTTTTAGGACACAAGTGCCACATACGCTGCAATGGTGTGCCCTATCAGGCTTTATTAACTGACATTTCTCGCAAAATCGCATAGCTAAAAAAAAATATATTTTATTATTAGCATATTATAAATATTTTCATATATATATATACAGGGTGTCCCATAATTCACGAACCACCGCGAATGGGCAGATAGAGCGTGTTAAACTGAATAGAAAAGTCCTGTATCATTTTGCGATATTCGCAATAATTATTGAGTTATTTATTAAAATATCTAAACGAATAAGCAGGTAGAAAGCATTATTTGATCGAGAGGCGGCGTCATGCAGCGAGCGGCGACCAATGTAGTGGCGCCGAAAAGTAAGATGATACTTTTGATACTAAGCGGTACATGCACACCGAGTCCGGCCTACCGCTTTCTACCCGCTCATTCGTTTAGATATTTTAGTTAATAACTCAATAATTATTGCAAATATCGCACACAAAATGATACAGGACTTTTCTATTCAGTTTAACACGCTCTATCTGCCCATTCGCGGTGGTTCGCAAATTATGGGACACCCTGTATATATATATACAAAGCGAGGAAAAAGTATGACCGGTAAAATATTTTGGAAAGAGCAGGATATAAAAAAAATGTTAAATACAAAAGTTGTAAGTTGTAAGACACAAATTGAGGTACTTCATGGTGACATTGACCTTGACTTAGAGGTCAAATTTAAGGGTCATTTCAAAGTCAACTTTATTATTTTAAATAGAATCACCATATTTTTTTACATAAATCGATTCCTTACAATATTCTGCATAAAAAGTTATATAAATATATATACATATATTATTTTTGCAGAATATTTTATACAGAATATATTCTATATATACAGGTCCCGCAACATGATGCTGAAACTGTATATTCTTGATGTCATTCTAAGTGAAAAATTATTAATACACATATGTCTTTATTTTTCTTTAATATGTTGGGGAAACCTCCAAGAGGTATTGCACATCCCCCGGGTAAAGGATGAGGATTATGTGGGATTTCTTGTTCCCCTTGACTGAGCCACGAATGGTTCGGTCAGGGAGCCCAAGGCTACCTCACTACAACCCCAACGAGTGCCTTCGCGAGCCCTGTAGGGGATGACAAGGAACTGCCTAAACATTACTTCTTGCCAAATAATACACATATGCCCTAAAGTAAATTGTTTTAAAGTTATAGTGAAAAAATGCAAAAGTAATTATTTATTTATTTATTTTTTTATTATGACAATGCAAGCAATTGTTTTTTGTAATGCCAGTCACAAAAGTTAGATTTTTTATTGCTGTTTAGCATGCGGAAAGTGGCTTATTTCTCAACAATTCAATGTATGCCTTACTTTATCGCAGTGCGAGAGAAGCACCTTTATGATTTACCTTAACGCACAATTTATAAAATAGTTAATTATTATTTAATATATTCTCGTTTAATAAATAATATTATTATTTTCAATAAATGATACTGTTCTTATTTTTTATGCAATTTTCTTTTTTCGCCTAACTTTAAAACAATCTATTTTAGGGCATATGTGTATTAAGACTTTTTGACTTATTGTTAAAATGATGCCAAGAATACACAGTATGGACATCACGTTACGAGACACCCTGTATATACATATACAGGGTGGTCCTGACATAGTTGGTCAAAATCAGGGATTGGATTGGACACGTCATAAAAATGAAAAAAGTTCCCATAAACATTAATCCAAAAACGCATTTTAAAGTATTTTGCCTCTGTGTCCAAATAATAGATTTCAACAAAAGATCGTTAAAGTGTGATTGGCTATAAGAGCTTCAGTGCAGATAATGAAGCGCGATATATATTTTTAATCAATCCAATTTATTACGATGTTAAAATACAAATTACAAATATGAGATACGACGTACGTTTCGGCTCTTTCTTTAAGCCTTCATCAGTGCCAAACACAAATAAAACGCAGAAAAATTATTAATTATCGCATTATAACATGATATCCAGATACACATAATAATTCAAACATTAGAAAAACCGCATGATAAAAAGCACGAGATGTTAGAGATATGTTCCACATCCTCAGAAATAGATCGTAAATTATATTCTATGCAGCTGCATCTGAGATCATGGTACAGATATTATCAAATAATTATTAAAAGTGATGGAAATGTACATATAATGAACAAAAAACTTATCTTCCATATCTGCTCACATTTTTTAGTATTTTCAACACGATTTCAAAACACCAGTACGTAGAAAGATGGTAAAGTACTTTGTATTATTTTATAGCAAATAAATTAAAAGTGGAGAGCTATATATACTTATGTATGTATTGAAAATTAAAAAATGACAACACTAAAACCAAAATAAATATCTAAGAGTCGTTGATAAAATACAAGGATATTAAAAACCTAAAATAGTCACAAAAATAAAAGTAAAAAGATGTACAGAAGTGTGTTGACATGTAACCACATATAGAATCATCATTAATCTATAAAAACACGAACAATTAATATGGGTATAAATTGAAATTGTCTAAATTGCACGAGCTAAACTGAAAAAATAAACTTAACTAGAAGCACCGAAATTAGTATATTCTGAATATAATTCTATATGATATAATTCTATCTGAGCGAATATCAAACTTATATAATATGTAATTTATAATTTAGGAAGTTTATTGATTACAGTTAAATAGGTATCAGGCAAAAGCTCTGTATCTGTTTATAAGTTTATGCTCTTTTTTTGTCTCTTAATGTGCAACATTTCAGATGTTAATCGTTTAGTTAACCCAGGTTCTTTCTAATACTTTTACCTCCTCCCATTTAAAATCATGATCAAATTCTAGTCTATGATTGGTGATAACAGAACGATTTGCAGAGTTCCATCTTATGTGATTCTGATGCTCCTTAATTCTAGTCTGCAATTGTCTACTCGTCTGTCCAAAATATATAATAGATTTCAATTGTGACAACAAATCACTCGATTTAGACTCGCTACTTATTGAACACATTAATTAAAAAAGAAGAAATCATAGTAAGTACAATCAAAATTTTAAAAGTATTTATTCTTCGAAATTGATAATTAAATGAGTCGTAACTCCTGAAGGATGCGTTTTGGAACCAACGTTTATGGAAACTTTTTTCATTCTTATGACAAGCCCAATCCAATTCCTAATTTTAACCAACTATTTCAGGACCACCCTGTATACATGATGTCAATTTAAAAATTATCAGTCGAAATATCTCGGGAACTAGTAGATATCAAAACACAATTTGAAATGAATGTTGGACTCACGGGGAGACATCGAATCTCAATATAACGATTAAAGGGTGAGTCACTCTTTACACGCCATTTACCTTTTAAAATCTTAAATGGCACTATCCCCTTTGTGATACTCAAATTAAAGGTGTAAACAAGTACCCTTTAATCTATGTAAGCAAAATTCAAATCGATCTATTTGTTTTCGAATAACGGTTTAATTGAAAAAGTTGTTATTTTTTAATCTTAAAGCTGCAAATAAAGCTTGTTTTAATTTTTGCTTCTTCATAATAAAATTACAATAGTAAACAAAACACAGCCTACAACAGTTGAACAACTTCGATAGCGGATCGTCAGAGAGTGTAGATCTATTCCCAAACTATTGTAATTTTATTACAAAGAAGCAAAAATTAAATGAAACGAGCCTTATTATTTAATTTACAGCTTTAAGAAATAACAACTTTTTCAATTAAACCGTTATTATTCGAAAATAAATCAATCGATTTAAAATTTGTCTTGCACAAATAAAACTCGATTTAATCACAAAAGGGATAATGCCATTTAAGATTTTAAAGTTAAGGTAAAGGGCGACTCATCCTTTGATCGTTATACTGCGATTCGATGTCCTTTTGTGAGTCCAATATTCATTTCAAATTGTGTTTTGATATCTTTATTAGTTTCTGAGATATTTCGATAATTTTCAAATTGACACCCTGTATATATACATTTTTGCTATAAATAAAATTTTTACCTCCTTTTATAGTGCGATTAGTAACTGGAAGATCTTGTGCAAATCTTTCCAAAATTTGTCTCTGTGCTTCTTCTGTTTCAGCTTGCTGTAGTTTCTCCATTTCAACATCAGGTATTTTAAACTGTAATGTTTATAATAAAAATTATCGTCATATTATAATATAATATACAATAAATTACTCGATTGATGTATAATAAATTAGAAAAATTACCTTATCAGGCACCGGCATTAAGTTTGTGTACACTGTCTGCCAATATGACCATAAAAACATCAGAATTAAGATGTGGAAGAAAATCAGGTAGAAAGCTGTTAACACAAATACAACAATAAAAGTGTTGTGTCTGTGCACGAGATTGAATAGTGTGGTTTCAAAATTATAGGATATAAAATATTCAACATTATATAAATATAGAAAACAATGACACTTAATAATAATTATAATTATAAAAGATAAAACAGCTAAATAATAAAATGCTACAAACATTAATATAGCGATTAAAATAATACATGATACAAACCTTTTTGAACATAGCTGTCTATTGTATCTGAAACAGATATATCATCGTAATATATTAAAAAAGTTTTTTTAAAAGAGAAAATGAGAAAGCTTTATGTTGCAACTTGCATTTCTAATACCAACCAATGGGAGCTTTCCAGCAAGAAAACAAATAGGCACAATGTGACGCAATTGGTTATCGACTAGAGAATTTTTAAATCTTGAAAATTGTTCTATTTAATAATCGTGACATTGTGTGTTTATGTTTTTTACTGGAATGCTCCCAATTATTCTGACAATTATATATACACTCATGTGTTTAATAATACATACAAGGTGTTATGAAAAGATGGATATCAAACTACATTCCGAGATAATAAAAAAAAAGAAATGTTTTTTTGAACTTTTGGTTGAAAGTATGAGTGCTTTCAGTCAATACTGACTATCTTGCACATATACAATAGTGGATGCCTTGTAATGTGGCTATAAAATGTTTCCTATTTTATATACAGGGTGTCCTGTAACATGATGTCCATACTGAAACTGTGTATTCTTGATGTCATTCTAAGTTGCAAAGTCTTAATACACATATGTCCTAAAGTCAATTGTTTTAAAGTTACAACAAAAAAACAAAATTGCATAAAATAAGAATATTGTTTATTAAAGGAAACAATTTTATTTATTAAACGATAATATTAAATAATAATTAACTACTTTATAAATTGTGTAGTAAGGTGTCAAAAGTTCTTTTCTCATACAAATGCAAAAAAGTAAGGCATACATTGAATTGTTGAGAAATAAACCTTCTTTCTGCATGCTAAACAGCAATCAAAAATTGAACTTTCGTGACTAGCATTACAAGTAACAATTGCTTGAGTTATTATAGTTAAAAAATAAATAATAAATATAAGAAAATAATAATTAAAAATTATAAATAAATAAGTAAATACTTTTGCATTTTTCGCTATAACTTTAACAATCGACTTTAGGGCATATGTGTATTAAGACTTTTTAACTTAAAATGACACCAAGAATACACAATTTCAATATGGACATCATATTGCAGGATACCCTGTATATAGCAAAAGAGAAAAAAGGAATGTAAAAAGGAAAACAAAAAAATAGTAATTATAAACTGAAAAATACAATAAAATAATTCTGTCTGTCCTCGAGATAAAGTTTATCACAACTTTGAGCACTTTGAAAAAAAAAAAAGAAAAAAACATAAAAAAGTAAGAAAAAAAACGTTCGCAAAAAATGTAAACTTGAAGTATATCCTTGAATACTCACAGTAGCATAGTTGCACGACGTAAGCGTAATAGGACCAGGCGACAATTGTCAAAATGAATATCACTGGTATCCACTTGACGGCCTTTACGCACCACCAGCACGAACCGTTTTGTTTGCCCATCTCTCTCTCTCTCTCTCTTTCTCCGTTCACCGTCGAATCGACGTTGACAAGCACGAGGACGCGTGCCCTCCGACCGTCATCAATGACAACGCATTATTCTTCGCGCCGCTGAAACGCAGCGGCATCGCAGTATCACGAAAAAAAGAGCAAGAGAGATCCACTCCACTCTTCGTTGCGAATGCCGAGAACTCTTATCGTAGATTCCGTGACTCAGAACGAGTGCCAAAGCGCGAGAACGCTCATTGTCATGTGCACGGCAACGAAGTGTGCGCTTATCGCGACGCTCTTGAGGTGCGCGATATCGAAGATGCTCGTAATCAATCTTATTTTGGGCCCAATACCACTTTGCACACCGCACGCATGTTTATTTCACCTCCCCGAACTGTCGATCTGTTTTACATACAAGCTTGTCGGAAGCTTGCTTGACAGTTGCCAATAACCATGGATGAGTTGTATGTACATACATAGATTAGACGCGATTTGTAAAATATAGAGATCTTTTAGGCCCGTTCTACAATACGTCGTATATCGCAATCGGATGTCGGAACGTAAGCAATTGTCCAATGAGAAAAGGAGGATGTCCAAAAAGTGCGATTTTTTTATCTCGAGCGGAAAGTAAAATTCGAGTGTTTAAAGGCCGTTCTACAATGAAATGTCGTAGGTAGTAGTCGTAAGAAATTGACCTATCACAATTAAACTATTTTAAAAATAATCAATTGTGATAGGTCAATTTCTTACGACTACCAGGGGGTCGATTGTGTATCTCAAAACCTAGTGAAAATGACAAAAGTGAGCATTCAGTTGATTGGCTAATTTTCACTATAGTGAAAACACGAAATATTTCACGTGAGATTATTCGACAAGAATTATTGTGTCGAATAATGTCAAAATGTGTCGTATATCCTACTGCATTATATGTTATGTAGAGTAGAGCGCGATTAAAATACGTATTAAAAGAGAGGACATTACATTATACACCAGAATTTGCTGGTATGTAAATAATTATAGTGCATAATTGAGATAAGAAAAGGTATTTTTTAAATCTATTCTTTACAGCTCTAATTGTAAATGCATGTTGTGTTTTACATAACATTGCTTATAAATGGAGAATTCCATTAAATGAAGTATATTTGGAGGAAGAAGGAGAAGTGCCGATACCATTTAATGATATAAATATAATGCAAGCAGAAGAAGTACGAATTAAGAAATATTGTGCGATGGTATTTTGAATAGGATATATATATATATTTATATATATATATATTTATATATATATTTATCACATAAATTGTATCACATAAAATTAGTACATTTCATAATCTTATAATAAATTAATAATTAAGATTATCACAGTACATTTCTTAACTTCCCAGCAAACACAGTATATAAATGTTATATACTTAAGCATGTTACATGTAACGTATATGTTAGTTGTAATTTCCCACTCATAGATGTAACATTTTTAATATTACATATATCACATTGTAGTTATATTGTCATTATATCCCAAGATAGCACTGACTTATCAATACATCAATGTGCTATTTGGTATATAATTACAATATAACTACAATGTAATATATGTTATATTAAAATGTTACATCTATGAGTGGGAAATTACAACTAACATGGATGTTACATGTAACGTGCACGTTATATTATCTGTTATATTCCGTTTTATTATAGATATGTAACAATTATATATCGGTGTTTGCTGGGTTTATAATAAAAGATTTTTAAACACTACTTTTTTATTAACGTATTGTTTTATATCAATTCTCATAACACGTCGCGTCAATTTTATTCAAGCATGTTCAAAAATGTATCCGGCCCCGACCGAAATCCGAATGTTTATTCATAAAATTTAACATAATTTCTTTTTGTTTCTCTGTAACATTCATTCTTATTCACACCGTTCAAACTGCAGAGGTTATAAAGATAAAGGTATCACTGAAACATATATGCATGCATATACGCTTTACGGAATGTTCACTATGGTTTGTGCTCCCGTGAATCTAGGGATATCGTATTTTCATCTTGCTCATAGCCAATCGCGTGTATTTCTTCACGTAAAATGAATGTGCGAAAAGTGAGAAAAATCGACACAAATAGACAATCGATCCCCGGGTGGTAGTATCGTAGGTACGATACTCCATTGTAGAAGGCCGTTCACAATCGATTATTTTTTAAATAATCGACTGTAGTTTGTCAATTTCTTACGACTACAGCCTACGACACTCCATTGTAGAAGGCCCTTTAGAGCTTACTACATTTATTATAGATTCGACCTAAATCAATAGGTTTGTTCGCGTCGCATGACCTACATGAAGCTAGCCGACAAAAATTATAAAATATGATTATTTTCACTTTTTCTGAAAATATTTTGTTTGTAAATTGTTTGTGATTGATGGTGAATCTGTTTTTAACGTTTGTGACAAATTAGGTTTTTTGTAATTAATAATTTTTTTTAATCGTGAAGTTAGCCGACACTTTTTAGTAATAAACAGATTTTATAATAACTAACAATTGTAATCGATAGGAAATCGTTTGTGATTTACAAATATATCAATATAATTGTTTGTGAGTTAATAATTTCTTTATTATTTGCAATAAATAATTTTATAATTATAGTGCGCATGCGCAAAGTACTAGGGCTCTAGCCAATAGCGCGTCGACGCATTACGCGCGACGGAAGTCGACTGTCACGTCCTAGTGACCTTCCTACTCTCTATTCCTAGACTAGAAAGAATAAGGCGCTCTCTATTTTTTATGAGGCAATCTGGGGGTCGATTGTGTATCTCAAAACCTAGTGAAAATGACAAAAGTGAGCATTCACTTGATTGGCTAATTTTCACTATAGTGAAAACACGAAATATTTCACGTGAGATTATTCGACAAGAATTATTGTGTCGAATAATGTCAAAATGTGTCGTATATCCTACTGCATTATATGTTATGTAAAGTAGAGCGCGATTAAAATACGTATTAAAAGAGAGGACATTACATTATACACCAGAATTTGCTGGTATGTAAATAATTATAGTGCATAATTGAGATAAGAAAAGGTATTTTTTAAATCTATTCTTTACAGCTCTAATTGTAAATGCATGTTGTGTTTTACATAACATTGCTTATAAATGGAGAATTCCATTAAATGAAATATATTTGGAGGAAGAAGGAGAAGTGCCGATACCATTTAATGATATAAATATAATGCAAGCAGAAGAAGTACGAATTAAGAAATATTGTGTGATGGTATTTTGAATAGGATATATATATATATATATATTTATATATATATTTATCACATAAATTGTATCACATAAAATTAGTACATTTCATAATCTTATAATAAATTAATAATTAAGATTATCACAGTACATTTCTTAACTTTATAATAAAAGATTTTTAAACACTACTTTTTTATTAATGTATTGTTTTATATCGATCAATTCTCATAACACGCCGCGTCAATTTTATTCAAGCATGTTCAAAAATGTATCCGCCCCCGACCGAAATCCGAATGTTTATTCATAAAATTTAACATAATTTCTTTTTGTTTCTCTGTAACATTCATTTTTATTCACACCGTTCAAACTGCAGAGGTTATAAAGATAAAGGTATCACTGAAACATATATGCATGCATATACGCTTTACGAAATGTTCACTATGGTTTGTGCTCCCGTGAATCTAGGGATATCGTATTTTCAACTTGCTCATAGCCAATCGCGTGTATTTCTTCACGTGAAATGAATGTGCGAAAAGTGAGAAAAATCGACACAAATAGACAATCGATCCCCTGCTTACACCGGCTATACCTCAGGGACGCCGAGAGCACGGACTATATTATGGAACTAGGAACCGAGTACTGGGACGTTGGGGATGGGGAATTCTAGTTACTAGTGAAAAAAGGATTTCTACTAGCAATTCTTTCTAAACTATCTAATGAATTTATCAATTGATCGACTGTAATTTCCCCATTTAAATAGTTGTTATTAATAAATTCAATAGCAAAAATATTATATAACTCTCAAATTTAGAGTCTTGAAAATCCCTCATTGGGTCCTATTATTAAACAATTATTTAAATTACACAAATTATCGGTTTCCGAAAAGTCTCGCGTTTATCGTGTGCAATGGATCTGGAATGTTATCTAAACAGACGAGAAATTGGTCTAAATCGATGTTCCCCTCTAAAACGTCTGTTAAGCCTTGTGTCCACGATGCTAGAAATCGGTCCAAGTTCTCGATCCGAGAAAAAGCTACTAAAACTCGAATCGTGTACACTACCAACTCGAATGAATATCTCGAATAGAAATGTCGAACAGAAAAATGTATCCTGTCCCATTTTTCCATACTAGTTACTAGATTTATTTCTTGTTGCCAACATTATTACTTTATAAATAGCTAGTCAATCGCGTTGGACATGAAAATATTCATAACCTACAAGACCTTTTAATAAAATAGCAAAGAAAATTATAGAAAAAGAATAAGATAACCTTTAATAAATAAAGCAAAGAAGATTTGGTTCACATATAACCCAGAGGCAGAGTAAGCAAAAATTAATTAAACTGTAAAGAAAATTAGTAATTAGCAATTAATAATTTTTAATTATAATATTTACGTATATATTAATTACTCATTATGTAAATTTTAATAATTAAAGTATAATAAACTTAAGAAAGATATAGTGTATAGAGGTAAAATTTTATTTTAAATTTAATAATATTTACTTATAGTTCAGTTTATTTAAATCTGTATGAATTTTCAGGAAAGAGTATGGATAAAGACAATATTAGAACTTTATTATTGTTGTATCAACAACATCCATGTTTATATGTCGTAAAATCTATTGATTATCATAATCGTATAAAACGAGAAAAAACATTACAAACAATATGTGATCAATATACAGAGATAACAGAACAGCCATTGACGATAGAAATTGCAAAAAAGAAAATCAATAACTTAACGTAATTAACTCCGTTGTCTTTTTTCTTGTATTTCTGGCCGTTTTTCTTGCTGTTCTATAACCGCAGCAAAGGCAGTAAAAATCAGCAATTTTTTGAGTTGTTTCTTTTTTGCTGAATTATTCATTTTTATATTAGATGTGTTCTCTTTCAGCTTCTTAATAACTGCTTTATTAAATGAATCAAAACTTTGTAGTATCAAATTATGTATGTAGGAACAAATCTATTATATTACAAAATATTGTTTTTATTATAATTTATAATAATTAGAAATTCACAATATTTTATTGTTTTTCTTTTCAATATTTTAATGTTGGTATAAATTATAGTAACTAATCTCACATACTCGACTATAATGCTATCTGGAGTCATCAAAGTAGAACTAATTCTATTCGAGAGTTTGAATCGAGGACTCGGACCGATTTCTAGCATCGTGGACACAAGGCTTTTGTAGGGCGATAATTATACTTATTATTGTATGAATTTCCTCGTTAATTAATTTCCGGTTTTCTTCAATAGTACATTCTGATGACATTTGAGAAATGATTCAAATATTTAAATAACTAGCATATTGATCGATTTTAAATGAGATATCCGGACACTGTTCTTCTAAGAATTTTATTAGATCCTAGGTGTGCAGAAATCTTCGATTATTTTTTTCTCACAGAACGGAAAATATTTATTTGATTGCTGGTTCGACCGTTTGTACGGATTAGGCAGGATGTGATCTTGATAAATTACTCGTGGTTTGTTAAATGTGTGACTTTATTCAAAGTAATTAAAGTAAAAGTAAACTTGATTCGCTATCTCGGCTTTGCTCGCGAAAATCTCGAACGAGCTCTTGGGATGATCGTTCTCCACCGAGCTCTTCGGGCCGACTTCTGTCCAAAATACGCAGGATCGACGGCAACGGCAGCCGATCGATCCTTCGCTTGGACGCGTGGCACGCGCGTGCAGAAAACGTGATTCGCTAGCGAGGCTCGAAGGCTCGAGACAAAAGCGCGTTTTTGTCAACTTCTCGCTCTCGGAATCGAAAATACGCGGAATAACAACTCGGAAGCGAATATATTCGCGACCTTGCTTTAGCATTCTCGCAAGGCTTTTATAATTTTAAACATACCGCCCGCCTCGCATGCGAACGGATGTGAAAATATTTAACCGCTCTACAAGTAAAGTACAAATACAATCGGTGTTAATATAGGAATAATAAAGCGAGAGCTAAGAGAGCGAACATCAATATAAAATAAACTCAAAATATTTCTAAATTGTAAGGACGACTTACGGAACAATAGAAATATAAGCGCTGAATACATCACAAGTCACAAAGTCCTTTATATGACAAAGTTTTTCTTAATTATCGCACTGAACTGGCAGTCTACACAGTAGCGTGATTGGTCGTTTCAATATTGAACGCGCGGTTCTCACGGTAACTACTCGAACGAGTCCGTCGGATCCGGGATGGACCTGAGTGACTCGCGCGAACTCCCATTTGCTCGGAGGGAGCAAAGGATTTTTTAACAACGTGAGCTCGCCAACGCGAAAACAAGGCGATCTTTCTGACCATTTATGTCGCTGTTGCAGCGAATGTAAGTAGTCTTGCGACCAAGCACGCCAGAGTTGTTCCACCATCGAATGGACGAACTGCCATCTCGAAAGTCGATTCGTATCTATCGCGAGTACTGATTCCTCCGGTATCGCAACGATCGGTCGGCCTATTAAAAAATGACCCGGAGTGAGCGCGGACAGATCGCTCGGGTCGTCGCTAAGAGCCGCAATTGGTCGGGAGTTCAAACATGCCTCTATCTGGCATAGGAGTGTAGCGAATTCAGCCTGCGACAGGGTACGCGAACCGGCTATCCGCTTTAGATGCGATTTGAGGCTTTTCACGCCCGCCTCCCAAATTCCTCCGAAATGAGGAGCTGCAGACGGGATAAAATGCCACTCAATTTTATCGTTAGCAAGAACGTCGCGTAGAGACGAATCTTTCATGAACGCCTCAAATTCGCTGTTTAATTCCTTTTTAGCGCCGTGAAAGTTAGTCCCGTTATCAGAGTATAGCTTACACGATAAGCCTCGTCGGCTCGTGAATCGCCGAAAGGCAGCAAGAAATCCAGCACTGGAGCAATCCTCCACTAGCTCCACGTGGATCGCCTTGATAGCGAGACAAACGAATAGGGCCACGTAACCTTTTCGTGTCCTTTGTCCTCTTCCAACGAAAGGCGTAATCAAAAAAGGACCAGCGTAGTCCACACCCGTATGCGTAAACGGTGACAACGGTTGCACGCGAGGAGAAGGCAAATTTCCCATCAGCTGACTCGATACTCTGGCTGAGTAACGTATACACGAGACGCATTGCCTTATATGATTTTTCACTAAATTTCGACCTCCTAGCAACCAATATCATTGTCGGAGTGTACGCAACACTAATTGAACTTCACCGTAGAGAGTGTGTTTATGAGCCTGAGCGATTAAAGGGTACAAGACTTGTCCTCGCGGTACTAAAATAAGATGTTGCTCTTCGTAAGTGAAAGCAGCATTTTTCAACCGCCCGCCAAGGCGGAGTACTGCATCTTCGCCAACAAATGGAGTTAAAGTTCTAAGTGAACTTTTCTTCGAAACTGCGTTGCCTTTCTTTAGTGCTTTGATTTCGGATCCAAAAGTCCTCTTTTGTACGTACGACAGCCAAAATAATTCCGCTTTATTAAGCTCGTTGACACTCAGCGACGAGGTTGATTTGAAATTAACTTTTCTTTTCTTATCAATTAACGCGAGAAATCTACACACGTAAGCAGTTATTCTTATCAGCTTTGTCCAACTCGAGAATTTATAGAGCAAATCCCACTCGTCTGACCCTTCAACGTGAAGGACGGTGGGTTTTCGTTGCTCGCTAGATATCCTTTGTACTGCATCTATGGAGAGTGGAGCAGTAACGTCATGGATCGGCCAGGACGTGGAAGGCTCTCGAAGCCAGGGTGGTCCGGTCCACCACAGAGGATGTGATATTAATTCGGACGCGGACACGCCTCGAGACGCACAATCCGCGGGATTGTCTCTCGACGGCACGTGATACCATCTTGCAGAAGGCAAGTTATTTTGTATCTCCGATACCCGATTGGCCACATATGTGGTCCACTTAGAGGGATGCTGGCGTAGCCATGCCAGCGCGATTGTTGAATCCGTCCAGCAATAGATCGGAGTTTTCATTAAATTTAAGGAATTAATCGTCCACTTTATTAGGCGACTTAACAGCACGGCGGCGGTTAACTCGAGTCGCGGAATGCTCACGGTTTTTACTGGGGCGACCTTTGTTTTTACAGCGATCAAACTAAGTGTAAAATCCGACAATGAATGAAAGACGCGAAGATATACTACCGCGGCATACGCTCGATTTGACGCGTCGGCAAATTCGTGGATTTCAATCGCTATATTGTCTGGATTTTGACCCGTCCATCGCGTAATTCTAATTTTCTCCAATTTATTAAAATCTGAGACAAAGTTATGCCATCATTGTTCTAACTCGTCGGGGATGCGCGTATCCCAATCGCATCGCAAAAGCCACAGCTCTTGCAAAAGAATCTTTGCGGTAATTACGACGGGAGCGGCCCATCCGAGCGGGTCATATAATTTTGCCACGAACAAAAGAATAGTACGTTTCGTTGGAGCAACGGGTTTGATTGAATTGACAATGAGGCAAAAGGAGTCCTCGAAAGGAATCCACAAAAGTCCGAGCACTTTAAGAGACTCATCCGGCATTATGAGATGGTCGTTGACTTCCGGTTGATCGTGCGAAAAATCACGGAGAAGCTCACGCGTATTCGAGGCCCATTTTTGGAGTTGAAAACCTTCTCTCCTCATTAGTTCAATTAATTGAATTCGCGTATCGTTTAGTGAATTCATATCGTCAGCGCCAAACAAAGTGTCGTCTACATAGATCGATTCATTTAGAATACGAACCGCGGCGGAGTAATTGAAACCCTCATCAAGAGCGAGTTGTTTGAGAACGCGCATTGCGAAATACGGAGCCGGAGCAAGACCGTATGTCACCGTTAAAAGTCGAAAGTGTTCGACCGGTGCGTCATCCGTTGGACGCCAAAGAATTCTCTGAAAGTCTACATCTTCGGAATGTACGCGAATTTGTCAGAACATCTTGGCGATGTCCGCCGTATAGACGTGGCGCCATTTACGCCAACGTGAAAGAACAGCAGAAAGATCCTGCTGTAATTTAGGCCCGATTAATAGATAGTCATTCAACGTCGTGGCGTTCCGCATTTTGCACGAAGCGTTGAAAACTACGCGCAACTTCGTAGTACAACTGGTTTCCCGCAGCACTGGATGGTGCGGGATATAAACCGGCAAAAATTTTGTTTTTTCCAACTCGTTCACTCGAGTCATGTGTCCGAGAGATTCGTACTCCGCAAGAAATTCATTATACTGCGAGTAAATTTCGGACCGATTACGTAATTTTCTTTCCATGCGGTTATACAAGGAACGCACGATGGATAACGATTCCCCGATGTCGATCGGTGGATCGTGCTTAAACGGCAGTCGAACTATATATCTTCCGTCGGAGGAACGACTATGTGTCTCGACGAAATGCCGCTCACACCTCTCCTCCTCTTCCGTGAGAGGAGAAATCGACGAAATTTCCTCGTCTTCCCAAAACTTTTGGAGAAGCGAGTTAATGTCCTCGGCGAGGACGCTATTTACCACGGCTGCTTCCGTTGAAGCTTGGTTGTTTTTTTCAGTAGAGCCGGAAATTATCCACCCGAGCGCGGTTAATTGAGCGGTGGGAGTTCCGAGAGGTCCCTGCCGCAAATCGCGCATCAAAAGCGATCCGTAAACGTCCGCCCCAATCAGTATATGAATTTGATACTTGCTTGACGGATCCGGATCCGCTAAGGAGAGGCCTTGCAAATGAGGCCACGAGTCAACAGGCTGAGTTCGCGACGCGGCGTACGACGTGATTCGTTGAAACACGTACGCGGTAATCGGAAACGCGGGATTCGATTTCTTGCACGGTGTCAATCGCAAGGACATTCGTGATCTCGCAGCACCGATATATTTCTCACCAAATCCTTTAATTTGCAAATTGGCTCGCTGCCTTCCGGTTCGTATCGTTTGGCACAATGCTTCCGAAATAAAACTAAAATTGGATCCTTGATCCAACAACGTGCGAACTTTAAATGATCTACCTTCCGCGGTATGCACGTCAACCCACGCGGTCGCGAGAAGAATGGTCGGAGATGCGATGCTCGGCGGTTTAATCGTTTGAACGCTTGCGACAGCAGCATTGTCGGAAACGGGCGAGGAGTCCGTTTTTGAAATCGGCGGTATGCTCGTCCTGGTCGACGCCGAACTTTCATTTATGTCTGACGCTTGACCGCTCGCGTAATGCAACAATGTATGATGCGATCGGCGACAGTGGATGCATCGCTGTTTGTGCGTACATTTCGGGGAAATATGTCCCGGTTTCATGCAATTAAAGCAGACTTTACTTTTACGTGCAATTTCGCTTCGCTGCGCAGTCGACTTTCGGCGAAATTCTTCGCACTTAGTAACAAAGTGATCGCCCGAACAACAAATACATTTTACTGTAGCAACATTATTAATTGACGATCGCGGCTTGTCGCGCTTTGTATTAGTACCTTCCGTTGAAATGTCAGCGAAGTCTGATAATCCACGGATGCGCATTGTGAGGAAATCGTGAATGTTTCTATAAGACGGAATCAAATCCATAGTGGAACGTCTTAAGTTCCACTCGCTGCGTGTTTTAGCACTAAATTTTTAAGATATAATATATACCAAGAGATCATCCCAATGACCAATCGGTCTTTGCAGATTATTCAGCGCGGCGATTGATGCAGCCACTGTGTCGCGCAATTTTCTTAGATCTGCCACGTTTTCATGCTTTATGACAGGCAAACTCATAAACGCATTTAAATGAGAATTAATTAAAGTTAATTTATCGTCGTATTTGTCGATCAAAAGTTGCCACGCGGATGTGTAATTTTTCTCCGAAATTCTCAGATTATTAATTATTAAAGCAGCGTCTCCGATAACGCTTGTTTTCAAATAATGAAATTTCTGCGTATTTGACAGCGTATCATTTTTTGCCACGAGTGACTCGAAAGTATTTTTGAAACTTTCCCAATCGGAAAACTTGCCGGAGAATTACGGAAGAGTAATCCGCGGCAACTGAAAATGGTTATTATTGCTATCGCGAATAGAAGAATCCGTACTGCGATCTAACGAAATCGGAGTTTGACTAATTGTAAGTCGACTTATCGTGTCTTGAAGAAGGTCAGCCGTCTCAAGGTAGATTTCTTCTGTCGTCAGGAATTCTTCTTTGAGGAAGTACGGTAGAGTTTTTCGATCCTTCGGGGTAGCCTCGAGCTGTATCCTGGCATGAAGTTCACGGCAGGAAACCCAAAGTGGCTCCAGATTTGTGAGACGCCCTTGCGTCTTGGGCAATGTGATATTAGCCTTCGCTAATTTCTTAAAATTCACGATGACTCGTTGCAACGTGTCGATTGTCTCGCTCTGCTCGGCGAGTAAAACCTTTAACTTGGTCATTATAACCGCGAGTTAAAATCGTTGACAAAAAAATGTCACAGAATGAGCGTCACGGTTTTTTCTAGGCGCGTATAGCTGCGCCGTCAGAACGTGAGTTCGCGACAAAAACTTATTCAATGCACCGTGCGAGCAATTACGCCGACGGTGTTTTATTCGCGAACGATGTATCGAAACGCGAGAGACTTATATTTGTCCTCAGAGACCGCACTAAGTATACCGAGGCGCGGGATTACCGAACCGACGGGAACTTATTCGCGCACGACCGTGTGTTGAAACACGAAGATATAATGTCTCGTTATAGACTGCACTAATTATGCCGGGGCGCGGGATTACCGAGCCGGCGGTATAGATTTCGCGAGCGACCTTTTGTCGCAACACGCGAAGTCAGCGACGTCGACGGCTAACCCGTGACTTGAACAATATACCAAGTTACAAATTGACGCGAGGTTACAGCGACTAAGCGTCGTTGACAAAGTTTTATATTTCGAGATTCGCGTTATAAATCATTATGATCTTTTTAGGATGATACGAAATTGTTGCTGCACTCCTCGGCTAGCGACAATTTAAAATGTAACTCTGTAACTTTTCTATGATGAAATGCTGTCGCGTAATTTTAGGATGATACAAAATTGTAGCTGCGCTCCTCGGCTAGCGACAATGTAGGATGTAACTTTTCTGATGAAATGCCGTCGTGCGGCCAGATTTTCTAGGGTTTATATACCCCTCGAAAACGAAAAATCTTGGTGTCGTGTGCAAATTTTTGAATGAGAGAATTCCCACGAAAACGCTTTTCTAGGAAGTGTGACGTGACGCTTTTGGGGCGCCGTCACAAGAACGAGAAGCCCGATCGGGTGGGCCCTGGGGAGCTGGAGCGCCCCTCATTTCGGGGAGGGTGCGATCCGTTTGCGTTGTTTTGTTTTTTATTACCGTATTTTTGCGAGAATCGCAGTTGCACGCAGCGTCGGCCTGTCGATGCGCGTGCAACACGATTCGTAGGGAGAGCGACAAAGACGGCTTGAGAGAACGGACAGCGAGACTTGGTGAAGCAAGAGAGAGACGGAGGATGCCGGAATGCCGCAGCTGAGAGAAAAGGATGGAGCGAGAGTGGGAGAGAGAGAGAGAGCACGGGACCTCGCGCAGTTAAGTATCGAGTAGCCGCAATTTAATTTGATATCTCTCGCGCAAAATTTATGCGGGTGAAACTATTATAGATACCGAGAGGACTCCGGGCAAGATCAATCCCGGGGCCGACCCTGGAGGGAGACGACGGAGGGCCCGGCCAGCCTACCGCCTATTCCCACAGGAGAGATGCTACAGGAACATACCCGGAGAAAAATTCTCTCGAGCAGCAGGAAGATACCGAAGAGAGAATCACCCCCAGCTAAGGGGAAGTAAGGGGAGACCTTATGGCCCCCGCCATCGACCCTATTATCGAGGGAATGCGCGAGAGATCGGCGCGGCAAGAAAGGTACCGAGACGCGCGAGGCCCGGCTCTCCATTGTTTGGTGTGCCTTAGAACAGAGAGGGTGCCTCCAGGACTTCAAACTTGCGACCCGAGGACCAGACTTCACCGCCAAAAACTGTAAGCCGCCTCTCGAGTAGTCGTAGATCCATGTTGGTTGGTGCCGTGGGTATTGATCGTATATTGTAATTACCGTGAGTACCGAACTCTCTCGTTTTTCGTATCGTTTTGTGTGCGAGAGAACGGTCTCTCTTTTCTTTTTTCTCGTTTCTTGAGTATCGTATCGCGGGGCCAGCCGACTACGCGTTTCGCGAGCCGAGCCCTCTCCGAAAAGTGCCGCCGACAGTCCATCGTTTCGAAAGTAATTATCATAAATTCAGGTTACCGAGATATTCAGAGTCACGTTTCTTATATGCTCGATTATTAGATTTTCGGAATTTGCGGGTAGCCATTCTCCGCGAGTTTGTTAAATATCTCATATTTTTCGACTCGGCAGGAGAGTCGTGCGAGAGCCACGAAATTACCGTCATCTATTTGTTACCTTTTTTTTTGCATACCGCGCCGTGTCTCTCGAAGTATCTTATTGTGACCTCTGTCTATACCGCGTGTTCGCGATAATAAGTTGGACCCTCATAATGTTCACCGATTTTGTCTTTGTTTATCCCGTTCATATACAATTGTCGCGAAATTATCTAAGATGTTTCACATTGTGTAATTAATAAGAATTTTGTAGATCGATTCCGAAATACCGATATTCGCAGATCTTATGATATTATATTTTTGTTTCCCTACCGTTAGTTTATATATTACTGTTTGTTACATAATTATCTTATCCAATTGTATTTATCAGATGTCAAATTGTAAATCCTAAGTGTCAAATATATATATATCTGTCAAATTATAACACCACGTGTATGTCTCTCTATACCTCTCTCTCAACCATAGACCCAACGATCCTATAGACCCGCGACTCTGTAGGTTTGTTCGCGTCGCATGCTCCAACTTACTCCTTCTTACTCCAATGCGCTTGTATTGGTGCGCTCCTCGAATTGGACCAATACGAGCGCATTGAAGTAAAAAAAAAGCAAGTTGAGGCATGCGACGCGAACAAACCTTGTATAACAGCTGGGGAAGTTACCTTAAGTACTGTTCACATTAGTCTCGTGGCGCATTCACATGCGCCTGGCGCCCAACTTTACCGTGAGTTAATAAACGCCCCTAAGTGCGAGTAATTAACTCTTCTGATACCGATTTTTACCGTTTCATTATTTAAACTTGGAAACTCTTTAAATTGAACGCTCCCCTGTCCGAACTTGGCGTTTCGGAGCAGGAAAAGACGTTGCAGAAGATATCATAATAAATTCTCTTATAAAAGAAGGGGGTGATTTGGGGGTTCTGAGAAGGCAACGAGTGAGCTCTTCTTTTGATCAAATATGGTCAAGAGGATCTATCATGACCATATAAGGTGATAGACGACGAGAAAATTTAAGAGAGAATAAGTCGTAAATAAAGTAGTCTATGATTTGTTGGTTCTCGAGATTCATGACGTGCAGCTGTTAGTATCCCGAAAGACGCGGGGTTGCTTATCGTATCAAGATCGGGGCCGGTCCGGCCGACAGAAAGTTCAAACGCTAGCCGCACGTAGGGGTTTCTATTGTTCGCTTGCTAGCTCCTATACGTTTCTGAAATCGTTCTCTATATAATTCTTTGCTATATTCTAGTTATTGCAATTTAATATAATAAAATGAAGTTATAATTGCTAAATTATATAGTTATGATTTTACAACGTGGTATATTCTTATATAGTTATGGTGAAATGTTGTTATATTTATGGAATCCTTATTTATGTGAATATATTGAAAAAAGGAGAATAACATCTCTGACATTAAGTTGCAAGAATCCGAGTAGTTTCAATCATTGATAATAGTGATAAAGATAGTCAGGTTCCATAAATATAATTACAATTGAGGCGCATCATTTACGTTATCTTATAAATTAAAGAAAAGATTTTATGGAATATTTTATGACAAATAGTCGGTCATTAGAATTTATCAATTTTTATAATTCATTCACCATTGTGTGATTAAGAGATTTATTCGGACGATTCATCATTTTAACTATTCCATAAATAAGATTACTCAATTTCAAACATGTTGATTATAGGGTTCACACATTGATTAATAGGTTTGCACACATTGATTATATTTCGCATTTATCGTTCATACCGTTAGGGTTGTAAGAGATGGCAACGACTAGTAATTTATAGGTATGCGCTAGTTGTGTTGGATTGGTCGCGTTGCTAGTCCTTAGACTAGTTACAACTAGAAGATTCCCTATGCCGGTATTACTAACGATAAATGATAAAAACGTCTAATTCTAAGTTAAATCATTCTCAAAATAATTAATTATATAGGTTCTCGCAAGAAATGATGTCAGCGCAAAAAAATTAGGGTTTCGATCAATGGCAGGACGTCACACGACACATTTGTAATAAGTATAATATATATATTTAATACATTTATCATGACGTAAACTGACAAAATTTAATTAACAAATTTTTTCAATTGTAGTTAAGTAAAGATAAAAAAAATTAACAACCAAGAATTATTTAAGGAATTATATAATAACAAAAATAACACAAAGATATATTAGATAAGTATTATTTATTTATAAAATGATATTAATTTACAAGTTGTAAAGT